ATTTCATGACAAAGGCAATAAAAGATGATCTTACGTTTGTTTTCTATTACCAAAAAATAAAATATACGACCCCTTCTAAAACAGGTGTAGAGATCAGAATGGAAGTGGCCTCTATTTAATGATTCAAATATAATATAAGTAAAAGTATTTATATTTCTAATAATATTTAGCTGCGGATGTATTATTAGTAAATTATGTTAATAATGATAAGTTAATATTTTTGTTTGTCAAATGAATTGTAGTGAATGAAGTAATAATAATCTAATTTTTTTAAATAAAGTAATTAATTTCAGATGCGCAAGTAACAGCAGTAATGTCGATATAAGAAAGCTGATCACCAAGTCATTGAGAATGTGTGTGCAAAGATTACGTGACTTCACATGATATGTTTGAAAATCTCTGTAATTATGTTAAAGCAGTGGATTGAATTTCTTAAGAATTAATTAATCTTTGTCGTCTTAAGCGAATTAACAAGAAGCACAGAGTGGAATCAGGATTATGTTCAGGCAATATCGATAATTTAATAAATAAACTTTAAGTAATTACATTTTTATATGCATAAGATAGTTAAATCTAAAATAATAAATGAGGTTTATTTTATAAATTATTGGATTAAAACTATTTAAAAAAATATGCAAAAATTGTGTTTGTATACAAACTACTGAAAAATATTTCACTTCATTTTTTTTTATTACCAGCAGCGTACAAAAAAAAATTAAAATAATATTCAACTTTAATTTCTGTTAACTTCTTTAAATTCATTAGGTTATCTTTTATAAACAAAATAATTAAAATTATTAATAACAATGTAACTATGGGCTATGTATAAATTAATGCATGGATAAAAATGTAATAATTATCATAATATAAAACTAACAGAATGCTGTTAGGAGAATATAATATGCCTCCAGCTAATACATTTAAAAATTTGATTTAAAACTTTATTGTAGAAAAAATAGTAAAATAGTTATTTTAAATTATTATTAAACTACTATTATATAAGAACAAGTACGCAAACGTCGGATGAATATTTTTTGATAAGTTTTCGTAGACGTACACTTTAAAGTACTTACGTATACCTGATAGTAGTATCTACATAGTATACATATTTTACAAACATAATATTTGAAATAAACATAATAGGTTATACTTATGTAAAGTTATTATAATTATATTGTTATCGTATCTATTATGTAAAAATTCCAATATAAAGATTACCTATCTTCGTAGGTAATTTTTATATTGGAATTCTTAGCAAATTAATAGATTTGTCCAGCCAATATTACCATAATAAATAACTTCTAGTGATATTTAAAAAAAAATTCGTATCACAGCGAGTGGAGGTCATATATTTCGAAGATTTTGCTGTCCCTAAATCTACTGCTATAATAAGCTTTGTTTACCATCTTCATTAAGATTTAGCGCTCTTTTTTCAGTTCTCAGTTAATGATAAGTCCCAATGTAGAAAATATTTTAATGTAATATGTCTAAATGTTAAATTATCTCTCATATACTAATTAAAATTACACTATTTGGCAGATCACTGGTTTATTGATTAAAATTATGTATATTACGAGTAGTGCGTGCGCACACTGAGGTAGCAGAATAAAATAATTTTGTCACTGTCGACACTCGAAGATAAACACATTAGAATATTAGATTTGATTAACATTAAGCTGCGAGCGGCGACCTATTAATTTGCCTGAAGATGCCTCGTTTAGAGGTGAAACACGTGTAGAAAATCGTGCGTGGACAAAATGGCAGTCGCAGATTGGTAGCTAATATGGAAGGTTGTAGAACTTCTAGTAATAATAATAGTAGTCAATCTTCGAGTATTGGCAGCCGCACACATACTAATGGTAGCAGAGTTAACACGTTGAGCGCCACGCGTATTTCTACAGCAATCCCGTTCAGGCCACGCGCGCCGCTTTGAAGCGCTGGTACTGCAGGAGCTGGTGTTTCCTATCGTAGTAGAAGGTAGTTTACGTTTAGAACGTGATTCCTATAGGCATTCATTGAACACGTTACGCACCAAGTCTGTTTTCTTTTCTTTATCGTTTGACCTGCTAGACAAGATTTTATCGAAATATATCCGTAACCGGTGTTCCCTTTGTAAATTTTAAATAAATTTAATTTAATTTAATTAAAGTAAATTTTAAATAAATTTTCTGTAATTCCGTAAAATAGTGTAAAATTTTATAGTTCTCATGTTACACGCTGTCAGACACCGATGGCTGACGCGGCCTAAACGGAAAGTCTAGTGTCAGCCACCGATGGCTGACATGGCGCTCAACGTGTTAAACAAAATAATTCTAATCAAATAACAAGTGATATGGAATTCCACAAAATAACACCTAGTTCACTAAAATATTTAGCAGATACATTTATTTTACGATATCGAAGTCGATCGATATAGGACATCTGCATGGGTTGAAACCCGGCACACGGGTCGTAAATAAGAAAATAAAGGATGGAGTTGCAAAGATGGAAGACATGTTTGTTACAACTAAGGTCAGGTCTGAACGTTTAAGTTAAAATTTATTACGGAATAACTTTCATGGCTTCTACGTTCTTTTTTGAGTACATGTTTCGTTTTATATAAATCTTTTACAATATATTGCGCTCTTTTATCAAATTTTCTTGTTTTACATTATTATTGCATGTAGTTACGTATTTTGGACTATTATTATTAATGAATAATAAAATAATTAGGAATGAATTTATAGTTTATATTTTTAAGATAGATTTGTTTTTAATGGATGTAATATCAAGAGGCAGTGTATTCCAGAAATAAAATAATGTAGTTTTTTTTAGGTATGCTTTTTATTGAGTTTTGTATACCTAAATCTTTAATAGTAGATGATCAAATGAGTAAACAGCAATTGATTACAACTTATGATTATCATGGTAGAGTTGTTGTTTTTTTTTTATTAATTTACAATATAAGACAAACAACGTGGTGGCTTTGATAAAAAAAATATTACTGTCACCATTAGATTGAAATCAATACCACCGGATCAGTCGTTAATTGTCCACTGCTAAATATAGGCCTCCTTCTATTGGAGCATTTTGCCGGTACGAGTAGTTATCATGTTCGGCAGGCAGATTGGCAACCGCAATAAGGCTTTAGAAATGTTTTAAGATGAACGCTGCTCTTCTACCATTAAATTCCCTTAGTCGCCTCTTACGATACTTACGGGAAAGGAAGGAGTGGTGTATTCTACGCCGGGATCACAAGGCAACGCCAAGAACGAAATACTACGACAGAAATTACAGATCACACAATGACGTTCATATTTTGCTATTATTGAAAATAGCATGTTCTACATTTCTATTCTATAGTTCCAAACTATTATACAGTACTTCAAATTTCGGCGGCAGAAACAAGTGGAAATTTGTAGCAGTAGTAACATATTTATTAAATTCTACCACACAATCATACTAATTGTTTGGTCTTCAATTTAGGATACTTTATATAATGAAACATTAGGCAATGCTTATCTGGAAGCACAACTCAGTATACAAAAACAGAAGCCAATTCAGAAAAATACGTTTCGTTAAATTTACTTGACCAGGATTCAACCCAGAGTCACGTCCACGTAAAACAACATGCCTGCTAATATGTCACATAGGTCATCAAAATTAAAATATAACAGTATAAAAATTACAACAAACAATATAAAAGTAAAATAACTATTTACTTTATAATTAGGGTAGATACACATAATTATGAGCCACTCTATTTAACTTACACCTAAGGCATAAATGAAAATTTAAATATAGATGAATAATACTTTGATACGTATTAAAATACGTTTAGGTTTAATAAAAAGTTTAAAAATACAAGTATGATCAATAAATTCCACAAAGATGAATGAAGGTAAAATTAATCAAACGTTGAGCAATTTTAATTCGGAAATTCCCACCTGTCGTGTTAAATTAATGGTTCACGTTACGGAGCCTGTGAATTTAAGTACTAGAATAGTACTAATTATTTATTTTAATGTTGTTACAATAATAATATTCATGGTACTGAAGATCACAGACTATAGAGAAGAGAAACATTATCATCTTCAAGCAAATCTTTTTAAAAATAATAAATTAACAATAATTAAATGGTTTGACTGTATATATGTTGTACATACTTAAATAAATGTCGGATCAGTGCGTGATGTTGGAAGTTGTATTATGCGAATATTGCAGAAAAAAACTGACGATTAAACTATCTTACATATACTGCACGTGAACTTTTATTATAAATATACCAAGACTTCTTCCGTGTGATAACGTAGTGCGAATGCAATATGCCACTACTCCTTTTCAGATTCGAGATGACATAAGAGACGATCAGTCGACTAAGGGAGATACGATATATTTTACTAGCGTGAATATATAGTCTTTGCTGACGTAACTCAGCATAATACATCGATTTAAGAGAGGGAAAACTTGAAACAAAACCCCATACTAAGCAGTCTGACCTACATAGTAGTGGTAGGGTAATGTTCTTCTTACATGTCCAATATTGTAAAATGGATGCATGCCTACCCGATGTAATGTTGGGGACTATACTGGTGATTTTTTTAAACCATCACTCATAAAAAAAGTTTTTGCTGTAAAATTGTGATTGCATATGGGAATTTTGTAATTTCAGGAGTATTTTAATAGAGTGGCATATAATAAAATTATCATTGTAAAGTCAAAATATGCAACGGATTTTTAAAAATGTGTATATTTTTAAATATCTCCTTTTGCTTGTTACCTTTACAACTCTTGTCAACACTCTTAAAGCACAACGATTTTTTTGTAAGAACATTATTGTCGTTCATTTAAGCTAAAGAAATAATCAAGAAATTTTGATACCGCATTATCAAGGACTTATATATTTTTCCATAATTATGTAATTTGATAAGCAGCACATTAAGATTACATAAGGTTATCGTAATTCGTAGTTTGTTGACTATATATATATTCCGTATCAATAAAAACATTGGCAGAGCGGGGAGTGAGTTATTGTATAAAAGAACAAGAGACAGGTTAAAACAAAAAATTGTTTGTTAGTAAACGGACTGCCGGACTATCTTGTAGTGTCTTGGAAAAGATCTACACACATAGTTATATAAATGGAAATAATAATAAACAGTTAATTCACAATGGCACCAAGAGGAGAGAATTATTTGGAAATTGCTCATCAAAGGGCTATAGAGAAGAAAACTCACGTTAGCTTTCCTCAACTCAAATATCCTTCACTTAGAGATGAAGGTCTTAAGGATCCGGTTCAATGGTTGACTGGAAAAGCTATGGACGATGGTGCTGAAGGCTTGTGGAGAGTGCATGATAAAATTTATGATCTAACTACTTTTATTAAACAGCACCCTGGTGGAGCTGAATGGCTTGAGTTATCAAAAGTACGTGATATATTAAGTTTATTTTTACCTATCCTGTGTTTCATATTAAGTATTTCTTGCAAATAAAATTACAAAAAAAAGTGTTTTTTGTTTATTATAAAAAATAATCTCAAGGTTTGTAGTTGTGGTTTGTGAAAATAATATGGTGAAAATATGATTTACAGGGAACTGATATAACAGAAGCTTATGAAGTTCATCATCTGAACCCATCAATAAATAATATACTAGAAAAGTACTATGTAAAACCAGCGGTAGCTCCGAGAAATTCACCTTTTACTTTCAAAAAAGGTGATTTCTATGACTCGTTGAAAAAAGACGTAGTAGAAGAATTGAAAAAAATACCAAAACACGTCGCTACAAGAACGAACAAAATTATTGATGGATTACTAATTACTCTTCTAATTTCTTCAACTTTGTCATGTTACTCGAATAATTATTGGATTAGACTCGTATCTTATTTAGTAGCATCGTTATCTATGGCGTGGGCAATGGTAGCCTCACATAATTATATCCATAGAAAAAATAACTGGAGAATGTACGTTTTTAATGTAGGCTTATGGTCATACAGGTAGGTTTCCTTTTTAAATGCCATAAGTTTAAAAATATATGCTATTTTACTATATGTTTTTTTTTATATTCATGTGGAAAATTACATTATTTTTCAGAGATTTTAGAGTGTCTCATGTGTTGTCACATCACTTATTTCCTAACACACTTATGGATTTAGAGATTAGTGCATTTGAACCATTGGTACACTGGATTCCAAGGCGCAACGTTCCAAAATATGCTAATTTAGCATTTTTGTTTGAAAATATAGTGTTTCCATTTTTATTCATAATAACGTTTTTGAAAAGGTACGTATGCTATTAAATTTATATTATATTGTGTGAGTGGCATAGTAAATCCCATAACTCTTAAATTATAGTATACCTATAATGGATTTATATAAAATTTATATAGAGAATTCTGAAATTTGCATTAAATTTCTTTATTCAATGTTAGTATCTAGAAATATGAAAGCTATTTCACGGAAATGGAATACTAATATGGATTTATGGAGACGAAAAATTGAAATGTAGGAATATAATGAACTTTGCATGTTTATTCAGAATACTAAATTTAATTAAAATTCATTCAATTAATTATTCAGAAATTTACCCAATTAACGAATCGAGGAAGGGATTCATCTATACAGTAATGGGTAAATTTTATAAGCTTATAATATAAAATTTTATCAATTCATTGGCTTTTGCAATGCAATTCAAAGTAAATTGGTTTAAATTCTATAGAAAGTAGGTTCTATACTGTGCGGAACTTTTATACAAGTTTAAATATTCATTATAGACTTGATATTTCTACAATTTTTTAAGATATATAAATGTATACAGCACATATGCGTTGTATGAAATTGATCTATTGCAAAATTATTAAGAGTGGTAATAACTTCATCGGGGAACGCTCGACTGCGATTCAGGGTTTCCAAGATCGTTCGGATGTTAATCATCCGAGATCGAAAGCACTGAATTTTTATTCGTATGAAGAAAAAAAATATTGTTCCTAACTTTATATAAGTATACAATACAGCTGTGCATTAACCTATGTCGAATATTTTCCTATATAATTAAGATTACTAGACTTTAGGCAAAGTTACTGCCTTGTATTTGTTAGTAGTGCGTATATCTTATATAGATAACAAATATAAAAGCTTATGCAATGAATATAAACTATTGCTGCCACTATATAGATTTAAAAAAGAATTGGTGGTAGTGTAAAATTATTAGATTAGAAGTTTTAATTAGAGAGTAGACCACAAAAATAAATTCAATAATGATAAAATTAGTTATATTGGTTTAAAAATTAAATTACGCAACCCATTTTGGCTAAATTTTATAGGACAAATTTATAAGTATAACTTGGGCGCATTTATATTTGACTGGCTTTTACTCGTGACTTTTTCTGCATACTCAGGATATGTAAATTGACTGGAATAAAAAGTTAAGCCTGTATATATATATATATATATATATATATAATTTCCTCCATCCCATATAGCATGTATATACCAAATTTCGTAATGATTTGTTAAACCGTTAATACTCTAAGATGGGTATAACATACAAATTCCTTACACATTTGTAATATTAGATATATGAATAATAATAAAATTATTATTTATTACAGGTTTTTCTTAAATTTCATAAGAAAGGATTATTTTAAAAATCACTACCGGTGGCATGATGTAATTGGACTTACCATACCTCTTTGGATGTGGTTAACCAGCGGTGCTCCGTTCCACGAAGTTTTTACAACTTGGTTATGGATTAACTGCACTGCAAGTTTTATTTTCTTCACAATTGGATCGAATGCAGCCCATCATCATCCAAAACTATTTCATGATGGCGATGAACTTAGGTATTTCAGATATTTTATATTTCTTAAAATTAAATGGGAGATTTCGGTAGAAGTGATGATTTCATAGTTTGTAAAGAGTCAATGGATGCGGTTGATTCTAGATCGTTCCTTGTATGAGAGAATCTTACAGTTAGTAGTAGAATAAAAATGGTTCAAATAATGATGACAATAACTTTATAAGGAATATGTTAATACTGGAAATACGTAGTTACTAGAACTGTTATTAGTATGTTTAAAGCTATATCATCATTAATATTTTTAGCAGTAGTCTGCCAAAGATATTAGAAACGGCTCACAAATATCTTGAGTCGGGAAAAATACCTTTATTATAATTTTGTATTTTAGCACACTAGGTTTACAACGTTGATTTGGTTTTTGCTGTAATATTATGTTATAATTATTTTAATGAATAAATAAATAATAATAATAAATTAATATCAATAGAAAACAGAGATCTTGATTTTAATGTAGTTTTTTTTAATAACAGCTCTAACTTATAATATCCACGAGTGTAATTTACAGAGTTAATGACTTTTATGTTGACTGACTGAATTGATACTCATGCTGTTCATTATCATCAGTTTTTTATAATGTCTTACATTATATCACACAATATAAGTTAACTTATCATCTGTATTAATTTATGTTACGTAACATAAATATTGTCTTTATCTTTTATTTATATATTTTTATTTACTAAATTTTTAGAGAGCCGACGCGAGACTGGGGTATACATGAGGTGGAATCAGTAATCGATCGAACAGATATCAATGACAATTTATTTAAGGTTATGACTTTCTTCGGAGACCACACCCTTCATCATCTCTTCCCGACACTGGACCATGGATTACTACCGCATTTTTATCCTGCACTTTTGAAAAATGTTGAGAAATTCAAAGTCAAATTTAGAACCACGACACAGTTTGAGTTATTTATCCAACAAATTAAGGTAACAATGAAAAGAGAACCTAACCTTTTATCTAATATAGAATGAATATTCTGCATTATATTTTATTATATTTTGGTTATGAAATTCTAACATTTATTAAAATTTATTAAATGTTGAGAAACTAACTGGTATTTGTGTTTAAATTGCCCCTTTGAAATGTTTTGTCGTTGCTGTTATATTATCTTCCTGTATACTGAGATAGAGTGTTCATTATTGGAATCACATTAGTGTTTTTTATAAAGTTATTTGTAAGAGATTAGGTACTTTTAATGATAAGGCTGCCTTTTGTATTTGCACGAATACATTTTGTGGGTAATAAAGAGTTTATTAATAATATGAATTTTAAATAGTAGTAAAATGTAAATCTTAAGCAAACAATAAGTAAATTCAACAATATATTTCATTAATTTTCAAATTTTATTCAAATTTATGTTTTCATCAAATAAAGCCAGTATCTACTAATTTTGCTACATGATTTGGAAGATTTCTTTCTTTTTTTTCTGCGCTCTCGGTATACACTGGCGAGGTACCAGTAAATGATGATAAGTGAGAACGAAGACAGTGAAGACAGGTTTAACCCTCCCCTACTCCGTTCTCTAAAGATAGTTTAGAAAGTCTTCGCATTAGAAAGCCTCATCTTGATATTATTGTTGGTATTCGTATGTAGTAGTACTAGTCTTGAAATTAGGTGTAACTTATAAGTTAGGGTATACAAATTTATCTAAATTTAGATATTTTTTGTCATATTTTAAGTTTTTACTTCGCAATGGAAATATCTCAAAATTTTCGCTGTGAGTACGAGATGTAATCTATAATTATAATCAGTAATCTCTCTTTAACTATATTTCTTACCGGCACAATGTATTTTAGGAACAAACAAAAAACTGTTTTTTGTAAATTTTATATAGTAAAAATACATTATCTAATATTGTGGATTTAATTAAACAAGAGTTTATCATATTAAGAGTTCATTTGATATCAATAGTGTCAGACAATTGCCCAATGTTTTGTATTGATAATAATAATATATTATGTGTTTAGAGAGATAAAGCTATTGAAGGATTTTAAAGATCCGATAATATTAATTACAATATTTCTTAAATAGACTATATAATATATATAATATTTAAAAAAGATTTTACAGATATATATGATTTTAGTCCCACTATTGAATTAGCTTAAACCAAATATTAAAACATTATTTTTAATCATAATAATATCATTAAATGTAGGTTTCCATAGAAAGTATTAGAATTTGTCAGTTGTATGTTTCCTTATAACTATTCTTTATGGCAGTCTATACGGGAGGCTTATGTCCAGCAGTGGACGGATAATGGCTGAAATGATGATGATGATATTTCCTTAATCCATTATAAATGATAAAATAAAATTAAGCATCTACAAAATTTAGTCTAACATACTGCGTCGCATAGTTTCAAAACTTCATTAACGTGATTAATAATGAAATGTTATCAAAGCCCAATTTAATGGTTAGCATTGTTGGCATAATTTGTATGCTAGAACTATACTAGAACACAGTCTATGCCTAACGTAAAAGTGGGCAATTAAGTAACTTCTAAAACGAGAAGAATTTAATCTGCCTTTTTAAGATTCCTTACAAAATGGTATAAACTCTTATGGCGCAATTTTGTTCATCCGTCTGTCACAGCACTTACTAATGCTATCGATTTGAATTTTTGAACAGTTTTACATATTATTGGTGAGCATATATTGTAATGAAAATAATATTAAAAAAAAATATTTTTATTTTCCTTGCTGAGGAGTTCAAAATATGTATTAAAAATTTCACTACAGATTTAATAATCCAAGTGTTGAATTATTAGATAGTGCTTCTTTTGTACATTTAAAAATTAATTTTTATCTATTTTTGTGTCGGATAAATTTTTATATTACTTGGATAATAAGAGAGAAACTATGAGAAAAATAAACATTCCCACGCCTTATGAAATGTACTTGAAATAGGCAATTTACATTAATATTTTTTTATGTTAGTCGATTCAATTTTTTATAGATCAAAAGACTATATCAGACCGACTAAGATTACAATATCTAGAAAAAATTGCTAAAAAGTTTTCTCATAAATCATTCATAGGAAATCAGTTCGACTTCAATAACCTTGTAAACCGTAAGCACTTAACAAACAAAATTTGTAATCTGGAAACGATTAAGGTCACAAGCAACAATCTAGACTTTTTCAAAGTAAAGAAACAAATCTAATCTCGGTTGGTCGTTGACATGATCCAAAAGGCGACAAAGTTTGAACTTTAATGAGACTAAGCCGGACATAATTATTAAATAATAGATAATTAAAAGTGAAAAAAATATATTAGAAACATTGCTTTATTGCTTCAATACGAGTATGTAAGGCACCCTTAATGCCACGTCGAATCTAGTATTTACCAATGCAAAAATATAATAGAAGTTCCAACAACTAAAAAATTGCTTAACTTTGATATAAGAAAAAAAATATTATTATTACTAGTTTATATTCGCAACTTCGCGTAACCAGTGTTAATTGATATTCTTATTCTCTCTCTATTCTTATTCTTATTATCTTATTATTAAAATCTATAGTTATAAAGTAACTGATATACGACATAAATATTTTTAACATACATGGAAGACGATAACAATAACACAGATACACATATACAAAATACATATACACAATACAAAATACAAAACATTTGTATTTTGCAGGAGTAATACCCATTACCATTCAAAAGTATTTTAAACGGCTATCATCAAGGCCTTCCCTTTTTTATTATTTTTCAGGGTTCAATATCAAAAAGGTTCAATATCTCGTATCTAAATAGTCAAATAATATTCCCATATGGATTTACATAAGATACGCATAATTGGATAAAAAAATTATATAAAGAAAACAAACGCCTATTTTTAGATTATGCGCGGAACCCTTGGTACGTAAGTTCAATTGAATTGTTTTATTAATTCAATTCAGTAACAAGAAGGCGCTTTGTTAGAATCATCTTCCATAAACTTATTTAGTGAGAAAATTGACTTACAGATATACCATGCTGGAGTTTATTAATATCGTCAAATTTGCGGGGACCAATCTCTGTATTATCAAGTATGTTGTGCCGTGTAAACAATAGACGGCAGATAATTTTAGGGCGTGATCTGCTTTGAGATAGCCTCAACAATTCGAACCGTACCTTCGTCAAACTAAGGACGCCGCAATAATGCCGACATTGGAATTTATGTCGACCCCAGGCACCCCCTTATCCCGTCCAAATGGTCACTTTTCCTAAAGTACCTGTCATTCTAAATAATACCAGGTCTTCAATAATTGTGGTTAAAGATTATAAATATATCATATAACTCTACAATATAACAATCGATGGAAAGAACAAATAGATTTTGAATCATTTTAATGTAGAATCAAAATGGTGATAAATTTTACTGAAAAAAAAAATGAAATAACTACCTATCAAAACCATTTCAAAATTGGCAAAGATACCTAGTAAAACATACACAAAGAATTACAAGCGAATTGAAAACTTACTTTTGAAGTAACTTATCGAAACAAAGAATCAAAACACATTTTGCGAATATATATAACCAATTATTGTAGACCGAAAAAAGGGGCGTCACGAAATGTATTTTAGGGACTATTTCTAACAAAAAAGTGGTCGCGATGGATTCGCCTTTATAAATAGAACATAGAAACGAATTCTTTTTCCTGGCACCTATATGACCAGACTAATGGACGGGGGCCTCATAAAATACTTATTGTTGTGGATTTTACGGCCACCACCGATGGCTCCATTTTTATATTTCATTCCACGGTCCATAGGATACGTTAATTGAACTTTAACGGTCCAAGGAATGGGACATTATTGACTTTTCCTGTGTACACATAACTAAATCGTAAGGGTTAGATTGAAGCCTTTTCTGTATTGTGTTATGTAAAGGTGATGTATCTACATTTGATTGAACAGGTGTTTGACAGTGCGTTTTAACAAGTTTAGTAGTGAAAGGGTCTAGTTAATTTATTTATAATTGATAATGTAGTAAATTACTATACTGTAATAAAATGTTAATTTTACATATACTTATATTGTGCAATATTTATTTATATATGTACTTATATCGTACTTCTTACCATAGACGTGGAATTTGCCCTCATTCACGTATTCAAGATACATGGCAACGTTACCACTGAAATGAACGGACTTTCATTAATATTGACTTTATTATTATTTAAAATATCAATATTTAGTTGCACGGTAAATATTGTTAAATTATAACATTGTGTATATAGGTTACAAATTTATAAAAAATAAATTGCAAGCGAGTTCTTTCATAAATTACAGCATACAGAGTTATATGCTAAACAGAATCATCAAACGAATGGAAGATAAATTATGTTTGCTTACAGGTGGAAAGACATTTCATGTAAATTTATGTAAACAATAATAATAATAACGTATATTTTTTTATTTGTGTTCATATTTAGAATTTATATCAACTAAAACTATATACTCAATTTTCAATATAATTTACTTAACTTTAAAATAATTCAAATTATTTAATATAAATTTAAAGTACCTACACACCTGTTATGGTTATCATATTTTTATTCTAATATATATATATATATATATATATAGATTGATTCTATAAAAAATTTGTCAAAAATGGTTCAGTAGTTTAGTAACTGATTTTATCACTAGTGAAATTGTTTTTTTTTGTGGAAATTACTCCGCTTTATTAAAGCAGAGTATATATGAAATTTTACAATTCATTACTATAAAAAGCATTAACTGTTTTCGTCTGCATCAAACAGGTCGTTAATCGAACGGATTCGCGTAAATTTCCCTCTTTGTGGTGAACACCTATGATTTACGGACTTTTGTTGTTATGGTGCCATAGAGAAAATTTGACGCTATTTATGCGCGTACCTGTTGTACTTGACTTGCGACATATTTATTCATTACGACGCAAAAAATTACAATTATCATCGTAGCGTAAAATAGGGTATGTAAGTGTTGTGAATTATTTAAATAAGTTATAATTAATTAATTAATTCATTCATTGATCAAACTTATGTGGAAGAAATAAATAGCAGAAAAATGTTATG